CTACAGGTTCAGTAAATGCACTAAAATATAATACAAATTATTAAAGCAAGTATGTGACATTGTATTATCATTGTAATTAGAAAAAAGAGATGAATCTAAAGATAATGACAAACATGTATGTAAGATGTTCTACCTTAAAAAACAAAGGTTTGGTTTATATCTTCGAAATGCAACAGCTTTTTTTATAAATTGCTTTAAATCACAAGAAAATTTCCTGAAACTTTTGTTATTGGAATATTATGTGAATGACCCTGGAAAATATCCGGTGTCATTGTTATTCTCTGAGCAGTTGCTCTTCGCGTTCAGTGATACTGAAATACATGACCGGCGACAGTTCAGGCCAACGATGTGGTCATTTTTTCAATCCAACGTTCCTCAAATGCATTGCTTAAATGTTGGACAGGACTTTGAACATTTACAGGAGTGTAGTTGGCGATGTAGCAATTATACATATATTCCATATATTTTTGCCTCGGTAGTCTTCTGGGAAGAACAAATTCCTGCTAGACCCATGCAATAATAGAAAATTTGTGTTGACAATTTGTATATGGTCTTCCACTTGCACGGGAATTTGTTGTGATTCTTGTTTATGGCGAGGAATAACGATGCGACTGTTAGTATCTAAAATATCTAACTGGACGTTGTGATTCATAAGAAGAGTTAATAATTAGATATTTCCTTGACCAGTCAAGAATCATATGAAAACCATTTAGAGAAAGTATTAAGAAATATTTATCAATTTTTTTTAACAGCAATTTATGGGATTATAAGAAATGTTTTCTCCTTTGTGAGAAAGAGAGGTTATTATAAGGGGTTATTATTTACTACTTCTTTTAAAAGTATACGTCAAGGATATTATAAGTACTTTTGAAGAAAACATATGTCACATTCAATTAAAACAAATATAAATACTTGCTATTTAATTACATATAACAAGAATTAAATGTAATTAACCTTCCAATTTTATAGTAACTTTCTAAATGCTTTTGTATTTTGTAGGCATACATCAGTCCCAAGTTATACAACCATTTCTTATGTGTGTCAATTTATTCCTTTTGGTGGATAATCGGATATTTTTCTGTAATAGTACTGGTTCATAACTTTAAATATGCTGTATTAAATGGTTCACCCTTGACCAAGTCTAATCTTTGACCTCTACCGGTGTAAATTTTTTAAATGGATTTCATTGCCTATAAGGTTTTAACCCAAGATCAATGTCTAATGTATTTAAGGTCTTTGACATAAGTTACACTATGGATTGTTGATAATAATTAAAGCATTTTTTGTAGATTTTATAACAGTGAAACTTAATATACCAATTTACTAATAACAGTTTTACTAGTTACAGTTATTATGTTAAATAGTCCATTCAACGAGGTCCCGTTGAAAGCTTGTAGGGTCTTTTGAAAGACATTTCCCCCCTCCGTCTTCAGGGTGAGAAAAAGGATGGCGATGGTTTCGTAATGTGAAGCCTTTGCGTAGTACCCCTGTCGGGGAAAACTACGCCCATTCCCGGGTTTTCGGTCTTGGGCTTGCGAGGGCTCGTCGTATTGATTTTATTCTTTTATATATTTTTTTTGTGAATAATAAATTATTAATTTTTTTTAAATAGCACTACCTAATTTTTTAAGCATAAAAGGATAGCCCTTTTGAAAGGAAATGCGTCGATATATGATTTGGCCTACTTTACTTTGATAGGTGCGAAAAATTACATAGATCTGTTCCAGCAGATAGTATTTGGTTTCAATAGAATGGGGCCCTTCCCCATTTCAGGATTGCTGTAAGGAATTACTTCCATGAAATTTTTCCAAATAGGTGGATAGGTCGAAGAGGACCCATTGAGTGGCCACCACGTTCACCCGATTTAACTCCCCTAGATTATTTCTTGTGGGGCTATTTAAAAAGCAGAGTTTACACCGGACATAATCGAGGTCTTAAAAGTGCGCATAAGAGCAGAAATTAGTCGGATACCACCAGAAGCAATTCAAAATACCACGGATGAATTCGACTCGCACATTGCCTGACTGTTAACGGGATTCACTTTGTACATCTTCTTTAACTCACATAAAATTGTTTAATAAAAATCCTTAAATTATTGTTTTTGAGAAACTCTTTCGCATTCTTTACATTAAATTAAGTAATACATTTGTCCGTTTCTTTTTTGCACCTGTCAAAGTAAAGTAGGCCAAATTCCATATCGACGCTTTTCCCTTCAAAAGGGCTATCCTTTTATGCTTAAAAAATTAGGTAGTGCTATTTAAAAAAAATGTCGATGACGTCATAGGTTTATGAAACGTAGCGCATAAAAGATTTAAGCAACGTGAGAAAACGTGTCTATACACAGTGTCTACCTAGTGCGCCTAAGTCCAATATCTAGGTTAATGAAAGATATAACTTCATATTTTTTTCTACAGAGTTGCCTACTTTCCCGAGCTGCACAAAATGAAAATATATTTGCATATACAGGGTGTTCAGTTTTTCCTGGGCAGGTACCAACTTAATTTTTTTAAATGGAAACCAATATTTTTATGGCACTATCAAATTCTACGTGAAAAATCAACGGGACTTTGTGTTATGATCCCTATTAAATATTAATAGTTTTTGAGATAATCGACTTTTTCATCTTTTTTCTTATGTTTCGTCACTTCTAGTAGTTGACGTAATTATGATTGTATGACAGCTAGAAATTATTTTATTTTCAAGAAATGTGAAGTGAAGATGGCTCTTTCAAACATATCAAAAGTTGACCTGCGATATACAGGGGGCAAAAAAATCGTACCAAACATTATAATTTAAAATTTGAAAAATCTCGACATTTTCAAATAGAATAGTTTTATGATTTCATTAGATGCCCTTCTGTAGACCCTACAATTTTTTAATAGCTTTCCCTATACCTAAGTTGCGTAGTTTTTGCAAAAAACCCATTTTTATGTAAAATACTGGATTTGCGCCCGTTCCTTTGTCGGGAAAAATATTGTAAGGGTATTTATTTTTATTAAATTTATTAGTTGTCTAGCTACACTATTTAAAATAAAAATTAATAACCATAAAATCGCTATAAGTGATTAAGAGTTAGCAAAATATGAGAAATGTTTGCTAACAGCACATATTTACAAAGCAAATAATCCAAATTTACAGAGATTCCCACTGTTTTGAAAATGTGAAGGAAATGTTTGAATGGACAGTAAATGCGAATTATGAGAAAACTACCAGGAGACGTGAAAGTAACAACGATAATATTTAGTTTAAAGTTGTGGCGTCTGCTGTTGAAAATCCAAATATTAGTGCCAGGAAATTAGTAGTAACCTTGGAGTTTTCAAAAGATTGACAAATAAAATATTGAAGAAGAAGTTTCATCCGTAAAATTTTGAAAATCAAGCACGGTTACCGTAGTTACGAAAGTTATTAGTGAAATTGGAGATTAAAAAATTTGGATGTGTTGCAACTCGTATTGATTACAGCATATCCGTTGATCTTCTGGTGCTGGTTCTGGATCTTTTATGGCTATAGGTAGACTGCTTGTAATGAAGACTTTTATTTGTTATAGATGCGTGTTTAGTACATGAACAACAACAAATATTCATTAACAAAGTGTATAATGACGGAGCTTGTCAAACAAAAATTGGACAGAACATTGACACTGGCACTCTCGTCAAAATAAAAAGAAAATACACAGTTTGGGATCAAACAGGATGAATAGAATTTTGAAAAAAGAATACTCATAGTCGCAAGCTAACTTAAATACCCTTACAATATTTTTCCCGACAAAGGAACGGGCGCAAATCCGGTATTTTATATAAAAATGGTTTCTTTGCAAAAACTACGCAACTTAGGTATAGGGAAAGCTATTAAAAAATTGTCTAGTCTAATGAAAACATAAAACTATTTGAAAAAGTCGAGATTTTTCAAATTTTAAATTATCGAGTTTAGCACGATTTTTTTTGACCACTGCATAACGCAGGTCATCTTTTGATACGTTTTTTGAAACAGCCATCTTCAGTCTACAGTTCCTGAAAAAAATGAAAAGGCGATTATCTCGAAAACTCTCAATATTTTAATAGGGATCATAACACAAAGTCCCGTTAATTTTTCACGTAGAATTCGATAATGCTATAAAAAAATATAGGTTTCAATTTAAAAAAATTAAGTTGGTGCCTGCCCAGGAAAAACAGCCTGTATACGCAAATATATTTTCATTTTGTGCAGCTCGGGAAAGTAGGCAACTTTGTACAAAAAAAATTAAGTTATATCTTTTATTAACCTAGATATTGGACTTACGCGCATTAGGTGGACACTGTGTAACTAATCGACGTGTTTTAGCGTTTTTGTGAAAATGCAACACACAAATAAAATATGAATTTTTTGCGTTACTTCTGGGACACACTGTTTATCTATATATAATTAAAAAAAAGGACTCGGCAAGGTTTCATAGGGGTTTTCGAGGGTGGAGATGACGATGGTGGTGTTATTTTTTACCCTATTCTCCCGGAACTACCTTCAACGTACAGAAACCACACTTTCTTTCATATTCGTCCGATTATCTTTCATTCAAATACTTACGATGATTGTAAATTTGTTCAAATATACGCAAAGTGTTTAACTTGGTGGTGGAGTTTTAGTTTTTTGACTATTGCACGGTGCATTCTACGAAGAAAACCTCACGAGACATAACAATTTTATTTGAAAATGGTCTAAGGCTATATAGACTAGAAAATTTACAGTTTAACAGTTTAAACTTCTCGGATCCTTGTAATTCTACACCACCGATTAGTTTTTGATAACGTATGTAGCTGCATCGACAAACTGGTCTGTATTAAGTCTGAAGTATATATCTTCAATATTTTTTGAGTAATTTGTCAAAATCTGTATTTCACGTCCAATCCTTGAAAGATGTAGAGCCATTAGGAAACGTAAAAATGGCCACTTTTGAGTTACATCTTTAAAGATTCTTTACTATTTCAATAACAAACGATTCTAGTTTATTTTACTGTTGTTTACAGATTATGGAAATTTTGGAGCTGCTGAGGCTGTCAGGGACACGAAAAACTCCGACCAATTTGTTGTCAGGTGGCGAAAGAAAGCGGTTATCTATAGCTTTGGAACTGCTAAACAATCCACCAGTACTTTTCCTAGATGAACCAACAACGTAAGTATTTATAAATAAATACGTCTATTGTCACATTGTGTGGTGAGAAATTTTAAATATGTTGTTTTTAATTTTTTGGTAATACGTTCCTTTTGAATTTGTTCAGTAACCTAATTTAATGCTATAAATTTGTCATATAAGTGACTTTTTAATTGGTTTCTTAAGTGTAAATAGGATTCTATACACTATGTTTTAAAAAGAAATTTGAGGACTCATTTGATGTTTTAACAGCATGTTGGGAATCTATCAATGCAAATTTCTTGGATCAACAATAGTGACAAAATTAATTTGAAAAAAATAAGCTCATTAAACTACTAAGAACTATTAAATTGCACTTATTTGAAATTAATAACCAATGTCTTTTTTGTTTTAACCACTTGCATGATGCCTTCATAAAATGTTGATGTGGATAAAGGTCATTTCATGATTTAATAAAATTTGTTTTGAAGGAAATTGCATAGATATTCTTCCGTGAAAGAGATTTGAGTTTCTTTTTCAAGTAATTTCGTTTATATTTTAAATACTTTAAAGAAATATTATCTTAATGTTACTTAAGTAAACATTTTCCAATAATAAGCAAAGTGCTCAAATATTGTTTTTTTGACATTTGCCTTGAATTGTGTTGTAAGTATTTATTTTGAAAATGAGTTCTGCCGCTGTATTGACGTTTGTTGTTTGTTTAAATCAAAGTATATTTAAGGAAATTATTTTCAACTGATCTCTAATTTTATTCTGCTAATTTTACTTTGAATTATAATTGTAATAACGAAGTAGGATCTTGATAATGACACAATTGGTATTTATTCCTAGTACTACTATATTCAAAAAAGCAAACAATATACCAATAAAATTTTATTTTGACTATAGAAGAATAATACCATAATTTTCTAATTTAAATGAGTGACCTGTCAACTATCGGAATTTGCTTGATGTATGTGATGCATTTTAATGGGTTATAATTCCTAAAATTACCTACATCAGTTTAGAAAACAAGTGATATATATGTATCACGAGAAAATCATTTCAAGAATTGTAAATTTATATGGTAAAAATAGCAAGTGTTTTAGAATTGTTTGACAATTTAAGTGGTTATAAAAAATGTTTCTTGTACAAAATTATTTGTTACAAAAAGCAAGTGTTTTAGAATTGTTTGGACAATTTAAGTGGTCATAAAAAATGTTTCTTGTACAAAATTATTTGTTACAAATCGCAATAATAATACGGATATAAACAATTCTATATTAATATTACTGATTAACCAAGTGTTAAAATTTAGTACTGAAAACATTGGCCCTAAGTACAATACATACGGTGTGAATAATACGTTCAGCTATTTTTACTGCTATATACAGGGTGTTTCAGAAAGACCACCCGTAAATTCAGGGGGTGATAGTACGACAAAAAATAAGAATTTTTTGTCTTATTAACTATGTGTCTATCTCCTCTTGTTTTCGAGATAGAGCGACAAAATAAAATTTTTTAAATAGAATTTTTCCGAAAATTTCCAAACGGTGCGAAATATTTTTATGAAATTTGGTATTCCGGGGTTTTTAAGGACGCCAAATATGCTGGTCTAATTATTTTTTATGTATTTTATAGAGGGCGCTAGTTATGCTACTTTCGTATTACATTTGAAGTTCTAATTTTTTTAAGGTTAGGTTTTCGGGCTCCAATTTCTAATGTACAATTTTATTTTCTAAAAATAATGTACTCTTGTTAGAACTTCCTAATGTGGACGGTTTTCGAGAAAAAAGACTTTTAATTGAACTCTTACAATATTACGGTGTAGAAAATAAGTGACTTTTCTCAAAGTAGGCTTATGTCAAAACTTATTGATGGATGTCTCATAAACAACGCATACATTCTCAGTAATATTTTAAATTCTAATTAACCTTATATCAAAATTTTAGTGACTGTAATTAGTCATTACTAACTACAGTCACTAACAATCACTAAAATTTTGTCGTCCTTAAAAACCCCGCACTACTAAATTTCAAAATATCTCGCACCGTTTGGAAATTTTCGTAAAAATTCTAATTAAAAAATTTTATTTTGTCGCTCTGTATTTTGAAAACAAGAGGAGATAGACATATAGTTTTTATGACAAAAAATTCTTATTTTTTATCGTACTATCACCCCCTGAACTTACGGGTGGTCTTTCTGAAACACCCTGTATATTCCGAATGGGTTTCCGTTTTTCTAAGGTCAAATTTAATTTTAGAGATGTGAAACATGATAATAAATAACTTAACCTTTTTCGATAATAATGCTGGATTCTAAAGCAGAAAAAAAATGAATAAAATATCGTACCAACCAATTAATATCTACACAACATTACAATAATATATCCTTTACCTTTCTGTTCTTGTTCATGTATAGACAATAAGTATTAATTAAATACAGACATAATTATTTTTAATATTTATGAATATATTGATTTATAACGTGGAAATCTTCTTGAACCTTTTGTTTAATATTAAAATATATTTATTTTCTTGGGAATTGGCTTCTGGTTCTTGACATTTCGTTCCTGATCAGGAATTTTTTCAAAATCTGTTGAGTGATTCATGTAAAAAAGTGATTTCATGGAAACAAAGGCTACATAGGTAACTGTAGTTTCGTGTATACTAATATGATTCCGAGTTAGTTCCTTCCGTTGCAATTTTCAAAAGATCGGTGAATTTTACTTATGACATCGAACAATCGAACTGTTTTAGTTTATCCCGGTGGTACAATAGTGCGTTTCACAGTTTTATGAGCAATTCCTTCTGTGTTATCAGATACATTCACTAAATAGACAGACAAAAACGAAGCTAGTAGCTCTGTTAAAAATTAAAAAAAATAACCATAAGAAGATTTCAGATATTAGTTATGAGTGGTTAAATAAATTAAAACAGTAATTTTTTAATAATATTATTTTAATTCGCAAGTGCATAAATTACTTTCACAAGTTTGTTTTGCAAACGAAAATTTGCCTGCGGAGTTATAGAATCTTACCTAAAATGTCAGTGCAGTTATGTCACCCCATCAATGTGTCAACAGATATTTACTGATTTTTCTAATTTTACGCTTAGTGACATGCAAAATAAAATTTCAAGTTAAAATAAGAAAAAAATACCCATATAAATTAACTAATTGTGTGTATGTGGAACAACGGTTGTTCTTAAACCGCTCAGACTGCTTCTTAAATGCTGGAAATTGGCAACCCGAAATGGATGCAGGCTTTTGTTAGCCGGTTTCCATCAATGAAATTTAGTGTGGTAACTCTTCTACTTGCTAATAGGCGGCAGTTCCAGCGTTGGTTTTGTTGCCAAATAATAACTGCTAAATAAATTTAATGCTTTCAATTATGTAATTAAAGAGATATTGAACTTACCTTCTGTTTGGAAATCACATTTGCCTTAAATGTTAAATAAAATAAATCAAGTTAGAATTAAAACTATGAATTTACTTTTATTAATTATTTATTTTGTATCACCTTGGAATGGGAAAATTCAAAAACTCGAAATTAATGTTTCTAGATTTGTGCGTCGACTTCCAATATGGTACGATATTAACACCTATGTTTAAAAAAATTGCATTATACAGGTTGTGTATCCTTAGATGGGTACTGCCTCTTATTGTTGATTTCTTTAGATAGGTAAAATAATTATTGACACAAGTGTTGCATATCATGGATGTCATTGGTAGTGCTCATATTTGTGACACAAGGTGTTCAAAAAAATTAACACAATGTAAAATTGCTGGAACCTCAAGGAGTAGTTGAATACGAAATTTATTTAAAAAAAAAAAAAACAACAAATCATCAATCAATACAGAGATAAGATAATGCGTTCGCTACTGCTGTTGCAATTTTTGACTAACTTTTTTGTTTTTCGACATACTGACTTCGGACCGTTTCCATTCAACGCAGAACGGACAATCAGAACCAGAGTAGTGGGGAGATTTTTTTAATTATTTTTTCAATTCAACGCACCGTTTCCGAATTATAAGACCTTTTTTACTGTATCACCTCACACACCTCTTCTTTCCGAAATTTATTTTCCACATACGGACTTCGGACCTTTTCCATTCAACGCAGAACTGTCATACAGAACCAGGGGTGTGGGGAGATTTTTTCAATTATTTTTTCGATTTAACGCACCGTTTCCGAGTTATACGGCCTTTTTACTATAACACGACATACCTCTTGTTTCCAGAATTTATTTTCGACATACGGACTTCGGACCTTTTGCATTCAACGCAGAAGGAACATACAGAACCCGGGAGGGAGGGGTTGACATTTTTCAATTATTTTTTCGATTCAACGCACCGTTTCCGAGTTATAAACACTTTTTTATCCTATGACGTCACACACCGTTGGTCCCGATTTTTTTTTTTACATGCGGGTTTTGACGTTTTTCACTCGTTCACCATGGGAGATTTATTTGTTCACCATGGGAGATTTTTTGATACTTAAGAGTCTAAGCAAATACTGTTTTTTTTTTTTTCATATATTGTGACACCCCGCTCTGCGTCACCCACCGAGTGCTCTACTCAGAACCAAGGGGAAATTTGTTTATATTTCCAGCCATTTCCGAGTTACGAGCAAAAACCATTTTTTTTTCTTATACTGTGTGACATCATAGATCGATAACGAAGGCTTAACAAGGCCACGCGCTCTACCCCACGTTCCCTCCCTAGGTGTCCTGAAATTGCTGGGGAGACTCCTGAAGACAGCAGAGAGAGAGAGAGAGAGATAGAAGCTTTCTACGAGGACAGAGTCACTCTATCTCTATCGCACACTATAACTCTATCTCTCTCGCACACAATCAGACAAAAACGACAGAAACGAACCTTCTTTTAAAAATACATGGGATTTATCATTATTAGAATAACCCATTTTAATTTAAAAAATTAAAAAAATTACAATGGGTTATTCTGATGACGAAAAATAAAACATAATTAACTGTATTATTCAAATAACAATAATGTGCAAAAGTTCTTCAGGAATATTGGCA